TATATACTTATCTTATTGTAAATGAATCATATAGTGTTAACGGATTATTGGTTCATGGATATTAACATATGGGCATAGCACCATATTACTATTAACTCGTTATTGAACTATTGCCTATGGTTTAGGAGGTATAATAACTTACAATATTTATCAAATTAGAATTTTATACATTATGAATAACTTGAAGATATCCTCTATGGAACAATCCGGTCATACAACACTCAAGCCCTATAGATTGATTACCATATAGTATTATTAAACTATTATAGCCCTATTAATATAATTGGGTCTATATAATCAATATCATAGTTATTCCAAGTCTTTTCCCTAAATAGTCCTAAACACATTTATGATTATATAATAAGATGTTTATAATATAGCTCACTATGGCTGATATTATACAATATATTTAAGTATAGTACCATGGTTACCTCATTGGAATTGGGTAAGCCATTTTAACTTAGTATTGATAGGCCCATCCACACTATAAATAGGCTTATAGCGTATGTACCATATTATGTTGATATTAATGGTAATAATATATTAACAATACTGAGTTAAAGTATAGCATATGGCCATCTATTCCACGTGGAATAAATATGGGTATTAATATTTTTTATAATTCCATACATATGTGTTTAGATGGCCTAATCGGATAGGGATCTGTACCAATCATAATATAGGTCCACAGGAGCTACTATTATTAATTGGATATCACACGTAATGCCATGTCAATATTTACGGGGGAACCTATGACCATCATTATCGGATATATTAGGCAATCATTAATTATCCTAGGTCTATCATTACTGTCAAGGTATATAATGGTATTCGGGGACATTAGCTTGGTCTCCCCTATATTATCAACTCCTCTTTATATGGTCAATTAGTAAGCTGATATAATGGTAAATAGAAGGGGTACTCGGTTTAATATTGTTCCTATTACGGGATTATATTAATATATTATCAAAATTGAATCTCGACTCTATTGACCATATGATAGGAAAGACCTAGTATGGGACATGAATAATATATTAATAGGGTTAAGGCAGCTTAGTGGGGATGGTCCTCTATAATACCAATATGGTTAATACTATAGCTATAGTATGTTATCAAATAATTAGAGATAGAGTATAGATGAGAATAATAAGAGACCGGATCATATATGGTGAGATATATGGATCGACTATACCTTATCTTGATTAAGGTAACCATACTATGAACGAATTATTTTTTTACTAGAGGGCCAATAAGGACAGTTAGGTACCTTGTATTAATATATCTAGAATGAAAGGGGATACTTTGTCAAGGTATTGAGTATTATAACTAGGGTATATTACGGATATTCTTTCTCAAAAAATTACCTAGTACGATAACCAACCCGAGTCCTAATGTTCTATTTAATTATAAATAGATATAATACCTATCCATTTATACCATTACTCTATTTTGAATATGTTTCACTCTATGTTAGCTAAGGAATTGGACAATCATACCAATATCTTTAAATACTATTAGATATAACCAACGATCGATAAGTATTTAGGATAGTACATTGCTAATTAGATTGATATTAATGATATATTAGGTCCTAGGGTAAATAATGTCAAGGGTATTAATATTTGACCTAGGGTGAATAAGTTATAGTTAAAAAGGGAAACATATGCTATTGATTAAGGGTTTCATTGTATTATTGGCCAATAATCTATTAAAAATAGAGAAATGGAAAAGTGGTATCCTAGGATTACTTTTGATATAAGTTATAGCTATAATCGGGAGAGGAGATCAGACTTTATATACATACGGGGCTATCGTATAGTAAAATGTACCCCACTCCTATAGGAAGACCTTAGCCCCTAGATTAGTTAACTATAATTCAAAGTAAAGTATATATCTGATCATAATCGATTGAGATGACGTCATATAATTAAATTATAAGAGTTGCATATAACATTAGTTTAACCTATTTAGGCATCGAATTTTTGTACACGGAAATATGCGATCCATATTATTTCCTTAATAGAGAATTAGTAATCTATATTGATCCTATACCTAATAGATGATATTTATAATAGACTAGAATCAGTAAAATATCCTCACTACATAATACTATCTCCCAATATATATCGCCCTTAAATATTATACTACATAAATAACTATTTACCTAGCCATACCTCATCATGAATAATCACCAAATGAACCAAATCACTCAATAGTATATTCCAGCGCATAATTTATCTTCCATATTATATTTTCCTTACCCTATAATCAATCAGTCCTTGTTTAGGCTACCTAATAAATAGTAAGGGAGATTATAATTGATATTTACCAACTTCATAATTATACTCTAACGATAGGTTAACTAATGATTCATCATGTACTCCCTTCGTGTATGTTTATAATAGGTCAATACCATTAATAGTTATAATGTAACGTCTCTAGTTAAGACCTATAATATGGGTCCATGATCATCCTCTTGTGCTAATTATATGTATTTTAACATAAACATGTCCTTTTACTCCTCTAATAACTTTACTGATTAGTGATATTGATAGGAAGTTTTCTCTACAAGATTGTGTATCATATCACTATAATGACTTGACATGTTAATATACTTACAAATAACCCTATGGTATGCTTCATGAATTATAATCAGTAGTCCTTGATACATATGATATAATATATTAGTGTTGGCATTATTCTCTTATTAGCTGATTCTTGCTAACTTAATTATATTAGAGATAATCCCTTGTTTATGGGCTACCAGGTCATGGTCCCTTGTAATCAAGTTCCCTCTTAGTACCATAATTATGGTTATATAAAGTTATCAAAGGTAATTTTTAACTAAATCATTGTAAGCATACCAATTGATATTCGTGAAAGGTTTAATCTATACCGAGTACATACTATATTACCTCCTTATTTTTATATTATATTGTCAACCTTAAGTAATCCTTCATCACGATACTTTTTACCTATGATCTAGGGTATTTTAAGGATACATGTTATAACCATTAAATAAGGAGTACTTTCACAGAGAGGTGACTTATTAATAAGAGTAGTTAATCCTAGATGGGTAAAAAGTATCTAGCTAATAATCTCAATCCGATATTATATAACATACTCAATATACTTGTTAAGTATATCACAAATTAGCTACTCTTAATCTATGGTATAAGCCACTCTTAATATAAGTACTTTATTCATCATTTTCTACAGAGGAAGATTATATTATCATAAGGAAATCATTCCCAACCTAATTTATGTCCTTAAGGTAAATACTATTAGTTATGGTCCTTGTTTATGGTATAAGGGATAATGTCAAAAGGAATCTTGATCCACCTCTTTCATTAAATTATACACTTATATCTCAGCCTATAATTCAAATACTGATCACTAGTCCTTATAATCAGATTTATTCTTATTGATAGAGTGATTACTATATATGTAAAATGAGGTTAATATTGGGTTGCGATATTAATCAATTATAACGTAATATTTATAACTATAACTAGTATATGGTCCCTTTGTAAGGAGGCTAAGATAAACTTCTATGTGGAAGGGTTAACTATGGATTAAATATACCAACAATTTTATCAATTTAGTATATTGGAGGGTGTATGTTTACCATATAAGCATAGAGTGAATGTAATATCATTAGATAACATACTATAATCAAATTGAGTATAAAGTCTGTAATCCTTTATCATTTGGTGATTTATATCATGGTAACTATTTAGGTATAATAATAGCATTATCCATACTTAGATTTATAGGGTATATCTTAGATTAATGCCATCTATAATTTCAAGAGTGGTTGATATTGACGTGGAGCTTTCCCTATAGCTCCGAGTAAAGATAATTCCCCCATTGGTCTTATTGATTATTTCGATAATATTGCTTAAGGCCCAGCTTGATAGGGAGTACATTACTATGCTAAAAGCTAATATATTCATTGGGGGATTATCTTGACCGAGTGTCCCCAAATGACCACTGGTAATTGTAGGCTTTGGTAAGTAGCCATTCCGTATAGGTTAATACCAACTAATTCGTACCTATGGAGTTATCTTTTGCCCTATTCAATCTTCTCTATGGACCTAACTAGTATATTTCCCTAGGACTATAATAAATGAATGCTAAATAATTAAGTTAACAATATTCGGATATGTTCCCGTTAAGTTCAATAGAGTAATGTATTCCACTAAGCATACCAATAATGGTATTAACACCTCTCCACTGACTCCTTATTAAACGATCAATATTTTGTAGATCCCCATTTTTCTCATTCTCCATTAGTTAACGGTTTTGAATTAGTTTGCCCAACTTATATAGCTCATATTCCTAATATAAGAGATCGAGTATATACTTACCTAAGGATTCCTAATTATAGTTATGATAAACATTTAATATTTTTGTAGCTGAAGTATTAATATCAGGTACCCATTATATGATATCACTATATGAAATGGTAGACCTCCTAACTACTAACTACCATGATTAAACTTAAGGCCATTTTGGGGAAATAGTGTACTCTTATACAAGACTTGCTTAAGGCTCTATTATTTAAGGATTGATCCCTTACGGTGATATTACCAATTTGAACAAATATATAACCCTATCCCGATGCTAAAAATATTTACCGAGGGTTCAGTAAACATTTCTATTATGGTGTACTTGCATTAATAAAATATTAATGATAGCATAGAATAGATGTCTTTTTATAATCTTTTCTAAATAGATAGCGAGACTTTACATTGTGATAAATAATATTTCCTTAAACTACTAAAAATAATGAGAGGATAATCGAGGTTGATATATACTATCCATTATGTAGTTAAAGTTGGGATTACTATAATATATTCTTGCATTTAGAAGAATCAAGGGATGTTCTCCTTATTGCTTTATGGAACTCGGGTAACCTATTGCTATAATGAGGTTACTACACTCGTCATAATAGTTAAGTGGTTTGGCTTATCCTATAATGCTCCCCATCATTGAGCTTATGGGGTACCCACCTCGTTATATCGATCTGATATAATTAGGGATGAGGGTAAAGTGAGAATGATATCAATAAGCATAGCCTCATCCCGGCCTTCGTTTAATATCTCATATTAGTAATAGCTATACCCCAAATAATTTGGGCAAGATTATGCTAGAGTGATGGGGCTATGCTCGGAGATATTGGCCTCATTAATATATGGTCACGTATACACCACGACGATGGATAATATTTCCATGTCCGGTTTAGTGTATTGATACTATATAGTGGTCTACCTCTAATAGTTATTAACATAGGGGTATTATCCATAATAGATTGTTATGTTAGTAATTGGACTATTTATACATTAGGGGATATCCCAACAGTCTATATCTCAACTTATCCTTACTTATGTTGATGTTAATTTTGGTATCCACTAAAAAGAATATAAACTAACTAGCATTAGTCCATGCTAATCCTTGTGGTTAATTTCTTGATTAGGGATAATAAATCCTAGTTTCTTTTATCCAAGCAATACATTATAGTACACGGACCTATTATCTACCATGTTAATGGGCCAAGTAATTTGAGGTAATTACTAACTAGATGGAAAGTAAATTTGAATGATAACGAGGCTCTACATTAGTAAAGAGAACAATTGATATTATTCTTTTTGTTAATGTGGTTAGTCAAATTATATTTGATACTATAGCTTTGAACACTATATGTTATCGGAAGGCCTATTGATGGCCAAAAGTTGACTTTGTAAATAATTATCCATTTAATGTGATATCATCCAAGTTTTGGCATTTTAATATGTTATCAATATGACTCATAATATACCTTCTATGAGTATAAGTATTATGGATTTGGCAATAATATGAGTAATTTAATAGGGACATAATTTGAGGTAATTACTAACTAGATGGAAAGTACATTTGGATGTAGATTTATTATGTTGAAGTTGCTAAATATCAACTATAGCCTCCCTACTTATCGAATGGGACCTATTAAGTAATCTCCCCTACTTATCATAAGATATCCTTTGATATTAATATTGACAAATATTAATAAGTATTATCATACCCTATGGTATATTATGATATTACATTGTTAATTAAATAGGATAAAGCCATATAATCAACATAATTTAGTAAAACATACCGTCAAGGTTTATTATGGTGTAATATGGGTTAATGTCATCATATAGGATATGCCTACTTATATGTCCAAATTTATATGAGAATAGGGACATTGGATTATCATGTATTACTCCTACCTTCATTTTTAATATATGAATCATGTGATAACTGAAGGGACTATGTTATTAGTTTAAATATGGCCCATCTATGAGCATAATAGTGCTATCTAAATATGTATATCCATTATTGATATCATAATATTAGGATCTATCATGTCAATGGAATAGAATTAATGTGTTATATACTATGGTTAGACATCAATTATTCAACCTTTCATTATATCGATGATGTAGTATTACTCATTTCGTATAGGCCTTATTAGGTTATTTTACTATAATATAGTCATAAGTTTAATCATACAAGAGTAATGTATGAATAATCTACCATTTAGCCAAATTGGAATAAGTAAAATATCCTCACTATTGACTCTAATTAGATTAATACAATTATAATATTGATATCAAAACTATCCAATTTCATAGGTGTTATACCATGTGGTTAGCACTGTAATCTGCCCACATATTAATAATCATAATCAATAGTAAGTATTCCAGTAACAATTAGTATTGGAGATGAGGGGCCTATATACGGGAGAGAGAGATATATTACTAATACATAGGCCTAAATAGATGATTATTGGTAAGTGGCATATATAATAGGAAGATGCCATTAAATGCAATTCCATTTATAAGATAGATCCCTATATATACACGATGAATATTACCTCAAGGACATAAATTATCTAATGGAGGGATCAACTATAGATGTTAAGGGCATCTTTCTATTATAAACTTCCCCAATTATCGGTTGATCAAATTACTCTAGAGAGTGACATCTATTAGGGTAGTACACTAATATATCAATTCATGAATATAATTTAAATATACTATTCTTTAAAGATGATGGTCAATTAATATTCTTAGATAAGGGTAATAACCGTGGGAAGACAGGATTAGTAATATTAACCTCATTATTGGGGTTAAACATTTGCTTATCAATCTATATTCACTCTAATATCATATGTCCTTTAATATACACATAACCTCTTACTATTAATCTAATAATCAAATAGGGTCATCTCCTAATATAGTTAAAGGACAATCTATTGGTTCCCCTATATTATTTATCCAAAATAGAACCAAACAACCTTTCAATTTTCTTCTAGTGAAATATGATATTAATGCCAATATGGTCATGTTCCTTGTTATTAGCTACGAGGCTTAGAGGATAACTAGTTAGGAGGGACCTATTAGGATATATAAGCTTATTAAATCAATATAATTAAGGAAAGTATACCATTGGTAATGATTAGACATTCATGTCAATAGGTATATCCTTATAATATTAAGATCTAATTAGTTAATTTAGGAGTAATAAAGTAATAGGGAAGGATTTTGATGTTCATCCTAATAGTGGCCTATGTAAGATTACCCTAGATTAACCTCCTATAATGGATATATCATGCCCACTTAATGGTTGAGGCCTATCAAATGGATAATGATTAGGTGATGTTATTTTTTGATGAAAATATATAGAGACCATCTTAATGTACTTCGTAATACTATTTAGTAACTAAATACTATTAGTTAGTTTTGACCTATATATTTAATCATATTACTCTATTAACTCGTTAACTAGGATTTCACTTAACCGGAGGGAATAACCTTTGCTCTTATTTGAGAGATCACCTACCGTGAGTGATCATAGATTTATAAATGACCATTAGATATTACTTAATAGATTAATAGGCATAATTGCTAGTATAAATATCCAATTAACGTTATTTATCTATTGGTAACTAGTATTTCTCATAAGTATAAAAGGTTATACTATCGACTTTCCCTAGTAAGAGAATTACCTCCAAGATGTTCATTTCAAACTCTATACATGGAGGTATCATATCTCCATGTATTATTATCACTCACATTATTTTTAATAGAAACTATTGGTTAAATGATGCACTATATAAAAATTATCAATATAATTTTTTCGAAAAAGCATAATACCTATTCTATAATATCAATGGGGATATAATGTGTAAATATATTACTAGTTATAAAATATATTTCTAATTATGTCGACATGGACGATATTATGACCCATGATTAATATGGGTCATAATATGGTCTATATTGTAATATCATTATGATGATACACCTTAACGAACATTAGCTTGGTCTCCCCTATATTATCAATGTAAAGCCTATATCACACGAGTCCCCTCCAATAGCTCGATAACATAGCAATATTGCAATCCAATGGTTACACTATGAATATCGAGTGACTTATATTCATGATAATAGTCTATTACTATGGGATGATCGTAATATGCTTGATCAAATGATTATCATATTGAGGCTAAATTGTCGGATGCATACTTACAAAAATGTAATAATTATAAGAGATAGGTATTATAGGTTATCCATTATACTCGATAGACCCTATAACTAGTGATGTTCCAAGTAGTATGTATTATTACTCTCCTATAATGATATATTGCTATGTTGTATTATTATTATAATAGGACCCATTGTACCCCCTAGTAGGGATGGAGGGATCAACTATAGATGGGAATGATATATAAGATGACGGTGTATTATGCTATGAGGCTATTATTTCCACTATGGATATACAAAATTATAGTAATCCCAACTTTAACTCTCATTATAATATATCATAACCAAATTAGGAGATATATATTTAATCCCTCTATCCCTAATAGGAAAATAGGTAGAGAGGTTAAGAATACACAATATAAGTGATCGGGTTATAAAAGGGACCATATCCACTGACTCCTTATTAAGCTAATAGTATTCTTAAAAATTGATTAAGAATAGGACTTTGTAACGAGTGTTTGAGTAAGGGTTAATTTATCTAATGTTATCACTAGTTATGATAAAGGAAAATATCTTTAGCCATTCGAAGATTGTTGTGATCCTATAGACACTATTAATCATGGTGATATAATCCAATCACCACTTAGACTACGAGGATAAATTGATACTAGATTACTAGTATCGGACGAATATTGGTTATACATGTAAAGGTATAAAATTATGGATCCTTATACAGTATTACTTAGTGAGTATATGAATATGTAGTGAGGATATTTTATTGTTTTATCCTAAATATTATTGAAGGATATCTTCAAACTTATAGAGGATCAATTATCGTGTCCCTCCTTATATAGTGATTAGAGAACCAATTTATTATATGAGCTTATGGGACCATGGTCGGACATGTACTCCTTGTTTTACCCATCTTATATGAGTTATATAAGGGTATATGCCCACAGTATACTATAATTAACTAATAGTATACATTGATTATCAACCAAGAAGAGTACATTTTTCTTAATGTACAATTAGCATGACTATTCAAGTTTCTCCACCAATTTGATATAACTACCTTGGACAATATATAAGAATAAACAACCTACTCTATAGTATTATATTTGCTAGGGTATCACCTTTAATATAATACCCTAATAATTTATAAGTGAAGAGCAAACTCGCTTATCTCATAACCTATAATGATGGTTTGAATATACGCACTATAATGGGATATGACCTATTAGACATTAAGCATATGCATACTATCAAACATTGATCCCGATTAAATATAATATACATAATAGCCTACTTCTAATAATATATAGTAAAGCTCGGCTTAAACATTGGTCTTATCTCAAGTAACGACCCTCAAATATATTTAAGGGATATAAAAAGGTTGACTATCATGATGTAAGTATTTAGGAGAGGACCTCTATGCACATGGTAAGTACTTGTGGTGATAGTATACTTAGGGATCAATCGGGTATTCATTGTATAATACCCATTATAATCAGATTACCCTCACATTTTCACTAAGTTATATGACTTGTACTCTTATCTATTCATAATATGCTTGTATATTGTAAACTACATTATCAAAGGCATGACTCTTACCATGTAGTTTATTCATTGTTATCTAAGTGATTATCAAGAACAATTTAACCCCATAATGGACCATACAATATAACCTAATTGCTTATGTGACCATCAGTAGTGTTATTATATAGGGTTACAATTTTATGGTATAACTTAAATTCTCCTTATTATATTATGGCAAATATCGAGATTTGGCCTACTCGATAGGGGCATATCATTAGATAGATTACATAACTATATTTTTATCCTTTTAGAGAATAATTGAGAATGTGATTATAAACCTTGAGAGAGGGAAATATATAGATTACAATGGTAAATAGGTAAGTAAATTCCCACCTACTAAATAATTCACTAATTAAGGAGGATATGACTCAACCACAAGTGTAAACCTATAAAAATATGTTCAATGATTATACGTAACCAACATTTTCTTCACTTATCCAATATAAGACACATATCTAATATGATTGATTTCGTATTAAACTATTTGACTAGGGAGCATGGGCAAATAGTATGGTGTCTAAAATGGTGAATCACCTATAGGATACATGGATTTATAATTACTATCTTGATTAGGAGCTGATATCCATCTTAGGTTAGTTGAAATATGTATTAACATGGTCAATTCTACATTTCTGCAATTTATTACATGGTATGATAAGGAAATTAGGAGATTATAGATCATTCTCATATTTAATATGGCCCTCAAATATTATATTGATTTAATCATGGGTTAGTCGATATGCCTAGTTTATATTATTATTATATAAATTAGTTGGAGCTAATTTAGTTCGCCATTATAGGAGATTATAGGCCTTAAGTTTTAATCTAAGATGATAGGAACCATGTTAGTTAATTGATAACTTTACCAAGTTAATTAATGACACATTGATCAATGTCTAATATAATTCCAATGAGAACCATGTAAGCATAAAGATATCAAGAGTAATCTATTGTCCCGATGATGAACTCGGTAAAGTTATCAATTAACAAACATGGTTCCTATCCTCTTAGATTAAACTTAAGGCCTATATTATACCATGAACCCTTTCTATAAATAACCAAGTAAATAACCCATTAATAGCTTATATCTCGAAATTATCTTGTTAATAGATTATGTAGTGAATATATCAATAGTGAATATATTTATCCCCCAAATATTAGCAGAGAAGATATAAGATAATACTAATATTTGGGCATTAGAAAGGTTGATGTTAAAAATACACTTATAATATATTCCACTTATTTGGAGAATAAGTAAAATATCCTCACTACATATTACTATACTTCAGACCTATCCGGGAATAAACTATGAATGTATCGATTACCCATGACCTTAATTGCTAATAACATAGTCCCTTTAGTTAGGGATAAACTATCCCTAGTATAATTTCCTTGAATTATATTATATAAATCATGGATCGCTCATCGTGAATACCTACCATTAATTGTTTTATCTAATTAATACCTAATGAATTACTCCCTTATTAATTTATTGGAGGCGTACCCCACCTACGATAAAAATTAATTATCCAATTGCATTAATATTATGGTATGAACAAGTTAATGGATTTAAATGTGACATGATAGGTTACCCATCATAACTCGGGTAAGATGATAATGATTATAACGGATCATAACTCGATTGTCACGGATAAATTACCCCGAAACATGGTGAGAATATATTGATTATTTTATGGACAAAATGAACAGTTTAGCTTGGTCTATAGTGGCATAATTTAGGAAAACTATTATTTGGATAATCAATTAGGGTTTTGTCATCTATTTTTATCTATATAGTTATGTATCTTTAATGTTACGGCCTATACGAGTTATAATAACCATATGCCAACTATTACGGATTATAATTCACCTCCCTATAAAAGATATTTGCATGGGATATATGGCATAATTATAACTATTTTGGTGACTATCTTGGGCTAATATACTCTAACCTTGTTTCCCGAATAAGGGTTATATGAGAAAAGATTACTAGCCATGAATTTATCCATTAGAATGGCCACTACCACGCTTACCATCTCATTACATAGGACCTAATATAGATTGATTATTAGTAATAATTATGATTGATAGTTATAATGAGTCCTATATTGGAGTACCTTCTAACCTTAAATTGGTTCCTTATCTTCCTATATGATAATATTCTTATAATATAGATATTGTGAAAAGTATCATAATACAACTTTGTTATCTAACAAATGGATAGGTATATTATCATTGGATAGAGTTTTCTCATATAAATAACCTCCATATAAATCCCAATGGAGGCTATAATATAAATATACGGTTAAATAGTATGATCACTCATGGTAGGGATCAAGTATAGACCAAAATATCAACTATTTTAATGTACTCACAATATAGTATTGTTAATAATAGCTAATTAAACCATTAACAATATACCATATTATCTATGAGGTGACCAAAGGTTAGGCGTCCACTAGTCCTATTGATTATTTTGATAATATTGCCTAGATAAACGACAACATGGTTAATTTTATACTTGATTTTAAAAAATGATTATAATGAGAATAGATATTTATGAGTAATATTTACTTCTCTTCCTCATATCAAGTATTATGTCACATATCCTATGACTTTATAATGAGTATGGTGTATCTAAAATGTCTTTATCCATTATAAAGACAAAGCATAAGGTTTTATATTCATATTTAATCCATTTATGAATCCCCCCAACCTAAAGTGATTACCGTTCATTTACCTTTGATTTATTCTTATTTAGGGTTGAAAATACACAAGAGTTACACATTCTCTCCAAGGATAATATGCCCGTAATATGGGAATAATCTCTTAGCCTTTTTAGGGCTAACGATCCTAGGGTAAATAGGTTGTCCATTTCTATGTGGATCTATATGAGAGGAACAAGATCTAATGACGCATAATTATATCCAATAGTATGAGACACAATTCTGAAGTAATATCTCTATATAAGCTCATATTCATAGTGGACATTTATCACACAGTGTCTAGGCCTTTATAATACTTTTTGTAATAAGATCAAATGAGGTGACCAAAGGTTAGGCGTCCACTAATCCTATTGATTATTTTGATAATATTGCCTAGATAAACGACAACATGGTTAATTTTATACTTGATTTTAAAAAATGATCATAATGAGAATAGATATTTATGAGTAATATTTACCTCTCTTCCTCATATCAAGTATTATGTCACATATCCTATGACTTTATAATGAGTATGGTGTATCTAAAACGTCTTTACCCATTATAAAGACAAAGCATAAGGTTTTATATTGATATTTAATCCATTTATGAATCCCCCCCCAACCTAAAGTGATTACCGTTCATTTACCTTTGATTTATTCTTATTTAGGGTTGTAAATACACAAGAGTTACACATTCTCTCCAAGGGATAATTTGCCCGTAATATGGGAATAATCTCTTAGCCTTTTCAAGGCTAACGATCCTAGGGTAAATAGGTTATCCATTTCTATGTGGATCTATATGAGAGGAACAAGATCTAATGACGCATAATTATATCCAATAGCATGAGACACAATTCCGAAGTAATATCTCTATATAAGCTCATATTCATAGTGGACATTTATCACATAGGTCTAGGCCTTTATAATACTTTTTGTAATAAGATCAAATGAGTACTAGCCTCATTTACATCGAAGGGATGATTTGAGTTACTTAATAATTCCTTAATAGGAGAATAATCACTATTATAATTCCCTCCGAAAAATAAACTGTGGTTTAGGGATATACCATTATACTACATAAATTAGTATCCTTTAATTATAATTAAAGAAAAATATCTTCACTATCTCATGAATATTAGGTATGATAAATTCCTAGAATACCTTATTATGGAGATACTTATTCGGAGGTATAACATAATCAGATTTATTCTTAGGATAAAACAATTATATGTAATAACCCTCATGATAATAATTAATAAAGGTAGGATGGAGGATATAAGACTTCAGCTAATATAAGGTGGTTTATATTGTAAATATCCCTATCAAGTGGGCACATTACTATCCTCTTACATATATTCCTTTATGATCATGGGCTAATGAGAGGGCCAACTAAAAGAACTAAAAGATCTAACGTGAATATATTTTTGAGATCTCTAGTTAAGAGACTAAATTGGACAATAATAGATCCTCATTATATGAAATAACCATATTACGAGTAAATAATCCTCAAATTGTTATGAGGTTATATGGTTAAGTAATCGTGAATAGGGATCTCGAGTGATATAGCTTGAGATAATGTTAATCAAATAAGTACTGTTATAGAGAAAATATATCTATTAAAGGGATGATACATCCTAGGTCACTTATAAATATATTAAGGATAGTGTGGACCTAATATTCCGAGTGCTATAAAGAAAAGATATCTCCATTAACGAAATATTTTAGGTATTACTAACTAGGTAGAGTTACCACCATATTAATTTTTAACTTATGACCATTCTAAGATTATATTATGAGAAAATATAGTTAGCCATTCCTATAAAGATGTTCATAGGGAACCGAGTGACCCAAATGAGCATAAATAGATTATAATTGAAGGTTCTATTTACTTATACCCCAATTATCACTATACCGATATCATCATTAATATATTATACAATATAGGAAATTTCTATGGGCCAACATTGATATTCTAGTCTATTGTAGGTTTTTAGGAAGATGCTATATCGGAGGAGCCTCATGCATTGTATTATATAGTGATATTGTGATTACAACTAGGTTTAAATCAACATAATTAAGGGTATCTCGTGAATTATCAACCTACAACATGAACAACTATGAATGATATTAAAAGCTTTAAAAGATTCTCTATTATGGAATTACCATATCGATGGGAAGCATCAAATAATAGTATGATATTACCAAAATGTAGTAATTATAGATAAGAGAGTATAGTTGATAACCATTAATTGGATATCTCTTAACTAAAATATAAGTATTTAGGCAAAGTAAGTAGTGATAAGATTATGTATTCTCACTTGATCCTATGGCCATTTAACTTATATAGTTTAACCCAATAATATTATAGGAATATTACTAATATATTAGCTTAAATGGTAAACATTATATTTACCATGCTGGCATACTAAATAGAGTATGATTGATCCTCAAATTAACTTGGGCCCAATAATCCTAGAAGGGACAATATTGCACAACCCTATAATAAATATATGATAATTAGGCTAACCATAATATAGGGAGAAAATAATGTATTAAACTAGATAGGGTTAATTAATAAGGTGAATATTAGTCACTATGCAATTGAACTGCTAGTAAAATTAATGTAGTATGCCAAAATATCATGGTACCTAATAATCTTGATTACGTTTAGAATAATATTCCATAAAGGAGTTGGTTCCCCTTAAATATTAATATCAAATGGTCCTACCTATAGTTTCCCCTATTCTCAACTATATATTAACGAGTACTCAATCTATCCTCTATTTCCCATTTGGGTCCTTATTATGTTGGCTAATAGACCATCTCCCTCAAGGGAATAGATGAGATAAGAATGATTATTAGGGGGATCAAGTAGGGAGATTCCTAGAAATAAGCATAGAGATTGTTGAGACTAGGCAATATATTATAATTATTAACAATTTAATATATTGGGCTCTCTCTAATTGATTCAATTAATCCTAGTGTAATAAAATATAGGGGCACTATTAATATACTAATAGGGTATTATACAATATATTTAAGTATAATGCCCTATTTATGGCCTATTATCCTATGAATAACTGAATCATATTATATAATTTAAGGACACCTATTTTCCTAATAGTTATTATTATATATTGATAGTAAATAGCCCTTGGTTATATGGTCTCAATGCATAGCATATTGAGACTAATATCCCTGCCTCATAAATGATATTTTATAAACTTTGTTATTGATGTGATAAGATGAGGATAGGGTAGTCACTTGATACAAGACCGTAATGAGATCCCTTCACAAGATATAATTAGAGTCATATTACACTAATAATGACTCGTGTATATTGGCCTATCAATCATCCAATAGTATGTTTGGTCATTATTTTAAAGGTAATTATACTATTAGTTATTAGGCATGAATACCATTATAGCCCATCACCCCTTTTATTATATACATTAGTTAACAATCTTAACATATAGTATATTAATTAGGGAAGAGTACTCAAAATTACTTGATATTTCTTCATTTTCAAATATCCTCATTTCAATTAGCTTATGTAAGGGTATACTATTGTTAAAGAGGTATCACCTTTCAGATTTACAATAAGATGTTTACTATTAGTAGATAGGATATTTTACATATTCCTCAAATAAGTGGAATATATTAAAAGTTTATTTTTAACATCAACCTATTTAATGCCCAAATATTAGTATTAGCTTATATCTTCTCTACTAATATTTGGGGGATAAATATATTCACTTCGGTAATGTCGTTTACTCATGATAACCTAGAGGACTAACCAGCTTTATTAACTATAATATCCACACCAAACATCCCATTCTTAATGATGGTAACTCAACTAGCCCCGATGTTAGGCAATATAACATTGGTGAAATATTAACCCTAGTTATGATATTCACAATTAATCTCCTAATTAGTCGACATCTCGAGTATTGCTAGGTGAAATATAATCACCATGGTGAGCTATACGGACCATGTATCGAATATGGTAATAAGCCTTATATAGTTCCCATTATTATGAATAGATAAGAGTATATGTCCCTATACCTATTATTAACCTTTAAAAGTGGGAACAATCTACCTATTTTATGTTAGTATTAACCCCTATTTACTTAATCATCCTAATAATCATGAATCCTAGGTATTTATGATATATTATAACCTAATAGTGAAAAATGGTTGACATATCATCTCTTATATAAGTAAAATATGGCCAAAATTGTACAAGCAATATGGTTCTTTAGTTGAAGATTTTAGTTAAAAAGACTAAATCATAATTGTTAAAGGGCCCAATATGGGTTATGCCTTAGGCTTAATAAGAGACCTAATGTAAGCAACAATCATATCAACCATTTTATACACCTAATTAGCATGGAGTTATTCATGAGGATTATGGGCACTAAGGGGAGAGAAACTTATATACAACTCTCTAGTATCTCTTAGTTAAGAGTTATATACCCATTAATTATAGCCCATCGGATGCATATGATATTAATATCATAAAGAACCACATCTTTAAACTTTCCTTATTGATCGGGTTATAATCTTAATTGGCCAAGGTATTGAACCATAGTAGGCCATATTGGGGAAATAGTGTACTCTTTATAATATATTAGGACCAAACTTAAACGTTTCGTTAAGGTAAACATTACTTACGTCATTAGACTATCATTCCTTGTCATACAAGAGTAGGGAAATAATTCCATTATGAATCAATATAGTTATATTGGGTAAATATACATTGATAGATATATAAAGTGGGAATGATATATTCTCACCTGATTTATAATAGTACAAATGCATACATAGAGCAATGTAAAAAGAATAGTTCAAATCCATTACTTATGTTCACTCCAAGAATAGGTATTGATTCCCTTTTAAGATGGAGGGAGAATAATATAGAGATTTAAATGTTATAAAGGATGATTATTTAAAATATATGATCAATAAGCCCCACTTTGTTTCAGCTTAGTTGAACTATTATTAATGGGGAGTTAACCATAGGTAGTTCTATATAAAATCCTTTAGGTCACCTATGATAGTTTACTAATATTGGTATTATCGAAATTATCTTAGTTTATATAAGTCCCTAACTTATATAGTGTGTCATCCCCACTAAGCATTATTAAAATATGATAATATATCATATAATA